ACTGTTTGTATATTTTAGAAATGATGAGTTCTTTATTATGAGTTTTTGTATATTGGGTGAACTTTCTTAGTGGTAAGATGAGAATTCAGAAATATAGTATCTGGGCACAAAAGGAGGTTTTCCTTCCTTCCTTCCTTCCTTCCTTCCTTCCTTCCTTCCTTCCTTCCTTCCTTCCTTCCCTTCCCTTCCCTTCCCTTCCCTTCCCTTCCCTTCACATCCCTTCCCTTCCCTCCCTCCCTCCCTCCCTCCCTTCTTCCTTCCTTCCTTCCTTCCCTCCCTCCCTCCCTCCCTCCCTCCCTCCCTCCTTCCTTCCTTCCTTCCTTCCTTCCTTCCTTCCTTCCTTCCTTCCTTCCTTCCTTCCTTCCTTCCTTCCTTCCTTCCTTCCTTCCTTCCTTCTTTCACTGGTCTTGGGGCTTGAACTCTGGGCCTGGGCACTGTCAAAGCTCTACAACTTGAGCCACCATGCCACTTCTGGCTTTTTTGAGTAGTTTATTGGAGATAAGAGTCTCATGGAGTTTCCTGCCCAGGCTGGTTTCAAACCATGATCTTCAGATCTCAGCCTCCTGTATAGCTAGGATTACAGGCATGAGCCACTGATACCCAGCTCACAAAGGGAGTTTTAAAGATCTAAAGCAGACCTTTGTTCTGTGCCAACTGTCAATCTAGAAGGCTTTGTTATTCTTCTGAGCTTCACCACTTTCAGATTTGTGATTGATGTCAGCTGAAATTGAAGGCAAAGCACACCTCCCCCAAATATTTTATTAGCCTCAATTAGCTGTAAAAAGGGGAGAGGGTTCACTTTGAAGTGACCATATTTACATACAGTATACCTTGATCATATTTACTCCCTCTGTCATCCTTTGTCATTCTCCCCCTTCTCTTTCTAAACCAATCTCAACAAGTTTCATTGCTCCACTTTCACACATGTACACAAAGTATTTTGACTATATTCACCCTCATTCACCCTATTTGTATTTTCCCCATGCCATTAGTACAAATCTTCATTTTTGATTGTAGAAAACATTACCTTACTGTGGGCCCCAGTTAGCTGAATGGAAGGTAAATGAACTCACACTAGCCTTCTGCTAACATAGCAAGTGAACACTTTCTGAATTCAGCTGATAATCTATGTAGCTAATGAGTACAAACAGACTGAGCTGCTGGAGCTGACACCAGGTCACTACCATTCCAAACTAACAATCTCTTATTAGCCTTTTGGTGTTGTCTTTGTGATGATAGAGATCCATAAAACTATTTTACACTTGATCTCTGGTTTAAAATATAAATCCCAGAGAAACACAGTTCACTTTAAGGCTTCTGTTAATATAGTGTTTTCCCTCATGATGGAAAATGACTGACTTGTTATATAAGTAAAGTTTAGATGATTAATCTGAAATGTTCTGATAATTAAAATGACAGAAAATTACTTTAAAGCCACTTTTGGTAAGATTTAGAATGTTCTCCAGATTCTGGTGGTACTGAAGTGGGTGGCAGATGTTTCCACCAATGTTGTGTGTTGATGATTTGAAGCTATCCATTTCTAAACTGGAGCTGTAGCCCTGTCTGCCAACTGCTTATTTGCCTTCTGTTTTGGACTAAATTCCTCTTGATTGCTTGAGAGGGGTAGAGGTGTGTTTTGCTTCCTTTCCGTGGGATGATGAGCTGAGGAATGAGTATGGTACATTTAGGAGGAGGAAATGTCTCTTAAAGTCTAGAGCTGTTTAGCTGAAAATGATAGGTTATCAAATGGACTCACCCAACATTCAAACTACTATTATTTGAATGATGAAGATGGATGCAGCATTCTTGGCTGCTGCTTCTTGTTCCCCATCCCACTCCCTCTTTGATATTTCAAGTACTTAGAAATGTGTCATTAAACAAAGAGGATGATACATGATTGCAGCATGTTGGATCCATGTGTTTAGTCTGTCCTTTTTGTTTATCTGACTACAGCACTTATTGTGCCTTTCTTCTTTTTCATTTATTTGAAACAAAAATTGCCTAATATAAATTATTTCCATGATCCTAGAAGACAGAATCTCTAGATGAAGAAGTGGGTGTCTATTAAATAAGCAAGATTCGCAAAGTTAGACAGTGTTTTATTTGATTTAGAAAGGGATATATTCTCCAGAGATGTATTATTAATCATATAGGATCATTTAGAGAATAAAGTACCTGTGAGAAATTCAAGCACAATACCTAATATTCTACTTGTAGCATTACTGAAAACCTCTTCCATATCTTAGCTTTCCACTGTTATCAGTATAGAATAGTTAAAGTCCTGAAAAGTACTTGAAATTTTATAATAGGGAATGCGTGTTATATTGTTTATCCCTTACAGCACCCAAATTGGGAAAAAAGCACAGAATTTGTAAAAATATCAACAAAAATGAATGGCAGCTGTTTAAACTGAGGGTTCATTTCAGAATCTTAGCAGATTGAGAAGTGCTCACAAAATTAGAAAAAGGTAGTAAGAGAAATGATGTAAAATACAAATATTTATGGTTGAAGCTAACATTGGCAGGAACACTGGAGTATAACCCAAACTTCCTTTAATATATACTTTGTTGCTAATCCTCATAGTTACACCTGAGAGAATTTTACTTTTCAGTGGAGTCCTCTAGATACTGTTCTATCAGTTTAGGCTCCAACTAATATGAACCAATTCTAATGAACCAGTACAATGATTCTCACGTTACTGTATTATTTTCTGGAGTGGCATTGTTAGTCTTCCTGTAAACAAAAAGGCAAGAAGAACATCATAGTGGCCAAGAATAGAAACTTGGGCCAGGTGCTGGTGGCTCACGCCTGTAATCCTAGCTCCTCAGGAGGCTGAGATCTGAGGATCACGGTTCAAAGCCAGCCTGGACAGGAAAGACTGTGAGACTCCTATCTCCAATAAACCACCAGAAAACCGGCGCTGTAGCTCAAGTGGTAGAGTGCTCGCCTTGAGCCGAAGAGCTGTGGGACAGCGCCCAGGCCCAGAGTTCAAGCCCCATGAGCAACCAAAAAAAAAAAAAAAGAAAGAAAGAAAGAATAGAAACTTGGAAATTGACAAATTTAGATTCCACGTTCACTTTTATCATTAAATGACTATTGACTTCAGTAAAATCGCTTATTTTTTGGAACTCTGTATTTTATCATTTGCAAATGTCACGATGGTTGTGAGATGACCCAGGTAAATTTCCTGGTACATATTAACTGTTCAAAACAGAAAGTAGATGGGGTCAGTGATATGTACATTTTGAATGATTTTAGGGTCCTCACCACTCAAAGCCACTCATCTGCTGTGGTTATCTGATCCCATTAACAGAAGATAAGACATTTCATTAAATGGTTATAGTTCACACTCCCAGCATCTCATGAAGAAAAGCAATGCATTTATGCAGATTCCAAGTTGTAAATGGTTGTTGTTGGATTGTTTCCAAGTTTGGAATTTGGTGGAGATTTGGAAGTCATCCACAGAAAGGGCATGTCCAAGCAACTGAGTAAATTTTCCCAGTGCTATTAATGTCCAAAGCAACATAGGGGTAATTCTCATTTGATTTATTCATTGTGTGATGTTTTTAGAAAGTTGCCTTCACTATCAAATATAATTTTTGTGTCAGCCCAGATTCTGGTTTGAAAAATCATAGGATGTTCACAAAACATTTGAAGAGTGGTGTATTGTCCTCTAAATAGTGAAATGCACATATTCTTAAGCACTTCGGAGGTAGACGATATTGTGGTTCTTTTCTGATAATGTTGACTCTATTTTACTTTCCTCATATCATGAAATGCACACCACAAGTCTAAGGGTGTATAGTATAGCTCTTTGCTGTTCTCCCTGCCTTGTGTCATTGCTCTTAAATTGATAATGGGTGGCAGACATCACTTGATTATTTTGATGTTGTTCTCACCTTATGCTTAGGCTTTGATTAAAAATAAATAAGAAAATGGTATTTTTTAGTTCTAGTTTTCCTCTAAAAAGTCACCCTGAGGAGGAAATATTCTATTCTTTCCTAACAATAGACTGAAAAATTCCCAGCTCTTACCTGAAAGGTTTCATCTCTTTGTTATATGAATGAGCTTGAGGAAGGTCCATGGGGACATTGTCATCTGAAAAATGATGGGAATTTGTGTGCCTTTGGACTTTTGTCTCTTTTGTGGTGAAAAAAACCTGAATTTATTAATGACTGAAAAAAAACCTTCAAGCACAACCCCTTGCAAAATGTTCTCTATATAAATCCCAGAAGAGAGCTACTCCGATACACAGTGGATAAATGGGAAACTTTTTTTTTTACCCCTGCCTTGCTTTAGAGCTTTCTGCCTTGTATTAATGCACATTAGATGGCTCACTTTGAATCTACCTTACAGGCTATGTTTTTGTGGCACAAAATGTTTGAGAAGGACCTTGTAACATCTTTGTGTTTGTGAACATCCAAATGGCAAGAAGAGGGGGAAGGATGGAGGCAAATGAAAATGTGTGAAATCAGACGTAGGAAAAGAACTCCGAGTACAAAGTTTTAGGAAAAAATCAGATTCATTGTGAAAATAAAATTTCTTTCATAGTTTGAACATAGCATTCTATGATCAATGTAACCAGAAGTATATAACTTTTGCCTTCCTAAAAATCCAAATCCAATGCAAAATAGTGAAAATATAGTCCTTAACACATGTTAATCTACATGGCTCAGAGGGAACTGAGAGCTGTAACATTTGCTATATAATTAATTAATTTAGCATGCATCCTTGCATAAGTCACTAACGTCTCAAAATCTCAGTTTTTATATTTGTAGATGGGATGATGAACAATGCTTCTTGGATCAGTAACTGAAAGTGAAATTTCTTTTTCCTATTCATATTTTTATTAGTATATATTCATTGTCAGTGTGAAGGGATTCATTGTGATATTTCCATATATATATATATATTACTTTGCCTATCTTTACCTTCTTTATTACTTTTATCCCTACTCTGCCACTACATTTTTAATCTTTCTGTATTTTTTATTTATTTCACATCAGATGGGTAATATGTCAACGTCATAACAGGGTTTGAGGGAGGCACATGTCACACAAGTGGATGAGGACCCAATCATCATACTTATGAATTGGAAAAGGATCTGTGCTTTTTATTTATTTATTTATTTTTTATTGTGAAAATACAGTACAGAGGGGTTACAATTACATGGGCAAGGTAATGAGTACATTTCTTATCAAGCATTGTTGCCTCCTCCTTTGTTTCCCCTTCCCACCCTTCCCATCTCCCTCTTCATTCCCCCCCCCCCCCCCCCCCCCCCCCCCCCCCGCCAAAGTTGTAAAGTTCGTTTTTCGATATAATGTCTTGTACATCTCATTGTTGCAATGGGTCCACCTGTATCCCTATTTAAACAATTTGTTTTTTCTCTTCCTCTCCACAAATTATACCAACATCAAATACAGTGAAAACAGGGGTTATACCGTGGGGGAGGAACATACAAAGCAACAAAGAAATCATAAGTATGTTAAAAACAATCACAAGAAAGAAAAACATTTGAGTCCTTATCTTAGGGTTCATTTCGCCTAACATCAACTTATCTGACCATTTCTGCTTGTCTCAGACATATGCTAGTAATTGCAAATAAGGAAAACCATGGGACCTATGTTTCTTTGGGCCTGTCTTCACTTAGGAGAAGATCTTTACTAGCCATACAAAGGACAAGGGTCTCATATCTAAAATATACCTGGAACTCAAAAAATTAAATCCCCCAACAACAAGTCTTGAAAGAAACAACTGTCCAATAAATAAGTGGGCTAAAGATGTAAAGAGAAGCTTCTCTGAAGAGGAAAAAAGGATGGCCAATAGACACATGAAGAAATGCTCAACCTCTCTAGCCATAAAAGAAATGCAAATCAAAACAACATTGAGATACCACCTCACCCCAGTTAGAATGGCTATAATCAAGAACTCTAATGACAACAGATGCGGGAGGGGATGTGGACAGAAAGGAACCTTACTACATTGTTGGTATAAACTTGTTCAACCACTTTGGAAAGTAGTATGGAGGTTCCTCAAAAGACTCCACATAGAGCTCCCCTATAACCCAGCAATCCCACTTTTGGGCATTTACCCAAATGATCACAAACAAGACCATACTAAAGCTACCAGCACAACTATGTTTATTTCAGCATTATTTATCATAGCTAAGATATGGAACCACCCAGATGCCCCTTAGTAGATTAATGTACTTTTTATTTTATAAAAATTATATTAAAATTTTAAGTTAACATACACATTTGTAATATGAAGGATTGTATCATGATATTCTAATTGCTCTATTTGTTAAATAGTGTTTGGTGGGTTTTATTATCATATAAATACACACATACATGATGTATACATAACATCTTTTTGTATATTTTTTATTGTAAATACATATAACATCTTTTGATTGCCATCACTCCTCAGTTCTCCTTTCTTTCCTCCCTCCCCTTTCTTCAAATCCCTCTTTTATGTTCACATCCCATTATATTTCTATTTGAATCTCACCTTTTCTTAGGACAATATAATTCTGAATCTGTTCTTCCCCTGTGACCTTTTCCTTCTTGGCTTGTTGAGTTGAGCACTGTCATGGTAGAATGATCTCATTTAGCCACAAGAGCACTTATCTGAGTTTGGAGCTCAGGTCAGTGAAGTTCTCATTGCATTACACACATTAAGAGCTTTGGGACTATAAGCAAATTACTCCCCTGTTCTGTCTCTGGGCTTCTCTTCTCCAAAATGGGAGATATTGGTAATATTTGCTCTGCAAGCAGGTTGTAAGGATTAAATGAAACAAAACATAAAACACTTAGTATTGTGAATATTCTAGAGTAGGTCTTCAAAATGGAATTTGCACAATGATGTCTTTCCTCACCACATTTCTTTCTCACTTTGAAATTATAGACCAAGTTTAAGTTCTATAAATACTCTTTTACGATTAATACTCTGTTTGTCCTGATCTCTTTTTCTTATTTGGCTCTTTTCAACACCTTATATGCATGGCTTATACCATGTGAATTTAATTTTTGTCTGTTTTTGAATGCAGAATGAGTGAGTTGGTAATTTGACTTCTAAGTTTCTTTTATTTTAATGTTGGTTTCTTGGCATAACCTTTTCAAAGTCCTAAGCACATAGCCATTTGCCAATGGATCTGTAATGAGTGCCATATTCAAGTTAACAGATGGTATGGTTTGCTTACTTTGAAGGGTAATTGCTCTTTCATCTTAATTTCCTCCCTTTGGCTTTCCATCCTTGGAAGCTGCTCAGTGGTAATGTCATAAAGCTTGGGGTGAAAAACTGAAGGTGCATGTCACTTGTCTATCTAAAAATTACAGTTATCCATTATAAAGACAATTTGCCCCATGAAGGTTAGAATGTGTTTGTGACTTCAACAAAGTATCACTATTCTACAATACTGTGAAATTTGTGAAATTTATGTAATCACTTAATCACAATAAAAATTGCAAAAAAATAAATAAAAATTACAGTTAGACTAAGACTTATTGAATTCTATCAAGGGAGGGGCTTTTTACCCTAGTATTAGGGACCAAATAAGTCTTATGGACATGATGGACTTAATCATTTATTCTTTCTTTCTTGAATAAGATGGCTATTTCTAGTTCATAAGAGTCTCCATTTCCCTTAAACAATTCAATAGCGATAGTTACAAGACAATATGTTGGAAATGAACTTTACAACTTGGGGGATTGTAGGTGGAGAAAACATGAGAGAAAAATGAGGGAAGGGGTAAAAAATTCCACAATTAATCTACTCACTACCTTACGTATGTAACTGTAACCCTTTGTATACCACCTTGACAATAAAATTAAATTTAGAAAAAATCAAGGAGACTCCTTCTTAGCCTAATGGGTTATACTACTTTCAGTTAATCTGTTCTTAAACACTAACCCTCTAAGCCATATCTCATGTCCTTTCTTCAATGGGGCCAGTTGTCAAGTGATAATTTTATTGTAATCTCTCCTCTCTTCCTTCCTCTCCTGTGTACATACTTTTTCTGTGCTTCTTATTTATTTCTTCCTTCAAACCTGCCCTTTTCAACTTAATTCTACCCTCATTACTTCTAGGGACAAATTCTCATCATTATTATTATTATTATTTTACAGAGAATGGAGGTGGTTTCAATTGAAAATGAAAAATTTCAATATCAAGATTTTTTTTTTTTTGCAGGAGTGGTACTGAGGATTAAACACAGAGTCTTGCACATGATAGACAAGCAGTCTTATCACTTGAACTGTCTACCCGTGTTTTTAAAATTTATTTTTATTTATTTATTTTATTTGTTTTTATGCCTGGGACAGTGTGGACTGAGGTCTTCCTATTTATACTTCCCCTCTTGCTGTGATGACAAGTATGCACAATCTGCCTAGCAATTGGTTGAAATGGACTTCCATGAACTATTTTTTTGCCTCGGGTGGCCTTGGACTGAGATCTCGCAGTCATGGTGATTCTGCTTCTCCAGAAGCTAGCATGTCATACTTGATCCACTTTGCTCACTTTCCCATAGTGAATATTTTATAACTTAAAAAAAATTGGATACAGTTACCTTCTTTACTACTTTACTTCTCTTCCCATATGTGTCTTAGCATGCTACTGAGTGAATAAGATACGTAGTGAGCAAGTATTGATAAATTAATTTTTCTAAACACTACCAAATAACAGATCCACCCCATTCTATGGATGCTGGGAGTAAAATGATTTACTCTTAGACAATGCATGGATCCAAAGACAGTATTTCCTTGATACATTATATGAAAGCTAAAGGCTAATTGACTAGCAACAAGTTTTCACTGATGGTATGGAAAGGCTACCTCAAGTTTGGAAGAGATGCTTCTTAGGGAAAGTATTGCAGAAAATAGCAATGACACCAGAAAGATCAGATAGTCAGAAGAATTACTATGAGATAGATGGAAACAACTGATGTACCTAAGTAGCCCAAGGGGCATGGGAAATCTGATTCTTAGTCACAGGCTTTGAGTTGTAAAACTCCTTCCATCATGGCAAGGGAAATGAGAATGAAAAACTGGCAAAGCTAGCTTGAGTTAAACATTCAGAGCTTCTTCTTTCCTTTTGACTTTTACTTGCATATATTTAGCTCAACTTTGTTTTCAAGTGTGTATTTTTGTGGTAGTGGTCCTCTTTGTCTTGTACACCCAATTCAAGTTCTCCTTTTCCTTTTCCCTCACTGAACCATCTATTTCTGAATAGTTTGAAATTTCAACTTAATTAGGTCTTTCCCCTAAGTGAAGAACACAGCTGTTTCCCCTCTGATGCTTTGGTAGCTGCTTTTCCTTTTCCCAAATGGAATGATTGGCCCTTTCCTTTGATTTTTTAACTGGCCATTAGTTCAGGACTACTAGTCTATTTCCTGTGTGATAGAACTATCAAATCCCATAGCAAGAGTAGTTTCGGTTTGCTTTTGGGCCTTTCACATTTTGGGAGACTTAATTTATATGAAGTATGGGATTTATCAATCTTTCAGAGCCTCATTTGCCTTGTCACTAGTGATTTGATTGTTCAGCCTTTTGAGATGCTGATCTATGAAGAGAATCTAGTCTGATGTCCCTGTTGTGGTTTTGGTGGAAAAATAGAGGATAAAAAGCCTAAAATGTATTTTTCCCTGAATTAAGTGGCCCTCATTTGTCATAAATTCTTATCTTTGATTTCTAAATGGCCCTCTTGACTATCTTTCTGATTTAGTTGTATGTAACTGTATTTAATAAACTGTAGTTTCTTTTCTCTAGGTGCTTTGATTTTATCTACCTCTCTGACCTCTAATTTTATAATTCTACTTTCTTTTTCACTCTAATTCTCCTTTCACATTATTCTCCCTGTTAATCAATCAAAAGCATTTTGTGCTGTCAGTTTAACACTGCCTTTCCAAATGTGTATGGTGCAGCTTCTTTTTGCTTCCTCACACCAAGTGGGGAATTCAATTTAATTCCATATACTTAGCATATTAGGCATCTTGTCAATATTTCTTGTCTGAAGCCTATTTTTTAAGAATTTGAATTCATTATGCATGTGTGGTTTTGTTTCCCCTTAAGTGATGAAATCTGTAACAGAGTTACAATTAGCTTTGTG